AGAAAATGTGTAGAAGCAATCCTAAGCTCATATGAGTTCAAACAGTGTGATCATTTTCTAAAATATCAGCATGTAGCCCTTGGCTAACATTAAAGTTTAATTTCATAAGCATAAACTCTAGGTAATAACATATATTTTAGATGAAATTATGTTAGTGTCCTTTTTGCCCCGTCTTGAGTTTTTCTGTTTGTTTTGCATAAAATACCAGCCATAGTTTTTAATCATGGCATTTTATAGTGAAACCTGAATTCACAATTGTTAGTTACCTTATTGTACGGTGTTGAGTATATAGAAGTATGTTGTTGTTAAGTGCTATGGAATCAGTTCCGACATAGCTCACCTGTATGGGGTTTCTGAGGCTTTCTAAATCTTTGTGGGAGCACAAAATCTTTTTCCTGCTGGGTGACCGGCGACCTCACACCACTGACCTTGTGTTCTAAATCTAGTGCTTATTGTATGAAGCCACTGTGCTCCCAAGATTTACATCATCTTCTAAAAAGTCAGTTTAATTTCTGATCAGAAGGAATGCATTTAACAACTTACTCCAATTAAAGTGGCATTCCTGGTGTGGAGCTGTGGGCTAATGCATCAGACTGCAAAGTTGTTTGAACTTCTAGGTCAGTGGTTTAAGCTCTCCAGCTGCTCCTTGGTTCGCTATGGGTCGGAATCGACTCAGTGGCACTTAATAACAACAACATATAACTGTTGTCAGGATACTTTCTAGTTGTCAGCTAAGTTTGAAGAGTAAACTCAGAATTTTAAAAGGTCTCCATTCTGAATGCAGTCCAAAATGTTTCCCAGCAATGATGTGCCCAATGGGAACTGTGGTGAGTAGGTTGTGAAAGGTGGTTGAGGTATTTGGGAATCCAATTGCGGGAGAGAGGAGAGTGGTAGTGGAAGCTGTGCTCACGCTTAGTAACTAACTAAGAAGCATGGAGAGAGAAGAGTTACAGCAAATTAGTCGTCATTGATCCATGGGTATGCAGGGCCCTCAGCAGTGGTAGTGGGAATAGCATGGCACCCATCAGATTTGTAAGGCATTTGTATATTCTGATGGTGGACTTAAAATCCTCAAAAATATTTATATTATTATTTTATTATCACACCATTGTTTCTTGTTCTTCTACCTGAGCAGCTCTTTTATCTCCTTTGCTTTTTTTGTCTTCTGTCCTCTAAATCTTGGTGTGCAACTGGGGTCTGTCCTTGGTTTTCTTTTTGTCTCCATCTGTACATGCTACTGTTGAGCTCATTCAGTTTTATGGTTTTAAATATAATCTTTATTGTGGCATCTCTCAACTTTATACCTGTCGGCTGACTGGGCCTCTTCCATATGTCTCATTAACTCTCCACTCCTATCTCCAACTTAATGTATTCAAAACTGAGATCCCAGTCTTGTTCCCTAAAGCCTGTTACTCCCTAGCTCTTCTCTCTCTCTTAGTTAAGCGCCCTTGAATTGGTTCTGACTCATAGTGATCCTGTATAGGGTTTCCAAGGAGCAGCTGATGGGTTTAAACCACTGTCCTTTTGATTAGCAGAGAAGTGCTTTTCCTACAGCATCACATCAGGACTCTAGCTCTTAGAAACTGCATGGCAGTTTCATTCTACTTATGCAAATCACAATCCTTGAAGTCTTCTTTAATACCTTTTCTTCTTCCTCCTTCAATTCATCAGCAAATCCGGAAATACACCTTCAGAATTCGATCACTCCTCCCCTCTCCCCCAATACCGTGATGGCAGAACCATCTTGCTTCATCTGTAGTATTGCACTAGCCTTGTAATTGGCCTTCCTACCTGTTTTTAACCTTTCACCTACATTCTACTCCTCACATAAATACCAGGGTAAGTATGATCATGTCACAGTGGTACTCAAAATACTCTAGTTGTTTCTCATTCCACTTGTAGTAAATTCCTAATTCCTAAAAACAGCTCTTCATTCATGAGTCCATGCAGGTATAAATATATGATTGAATAAATAAATAAGTGGAAATGAATGGACAAATGTTCCTTATAGAATAATTGTAAATAATGTTAGTGGATACTGCCTTTTAAAAGAGGGGGGAACATAACTCCATAGTACTTGCGTATGAATTCTTTCCAAAGGGTGCAGTATGGAAAAAGGGGGTGGAAAGTGACTTGACAATATGGAAACCTAACATACTACCTCAGCCAAGTGATCAAGATCAACATCACCATCGATAAAGCATGTTGTTTGTATGTGACTATGATAAGTGATGATGAAAGTGGCACTTTGCCACTGTGGTCTTCCTCCCCAAACACATAATCTGATCTAATTATGAGAAAAACATCAGACAATCCCACATTGAGGAACATTCTACAAAATACAGCCTATGGAAGTCTAAGAAGACAAGATGACTAAAAGTGATGTATCTTGTATGCAATCCTGTGGCAGATAAAGAACATCAAGTTAAAGACCAAGGGAATCTGAATAAATTATGGACTTCAGTTAATAATAGTGCATTACCATTGGTTCATTAGTTGTGACAAATGTGCCATACTAATGTACAGTGTTAACAGTAGGGGAAATTATCTTTGTAAATTTTTTATACATCCAAAACTATTCTAAAATTAAAAGCCAGTCAGAAAATTACCCATCCAGAATTTTTCAGTTCATACTTAGGCATATCCATGTATTATGCTCATGTGTATACAAATAACTCCCTCCCTTTTTAAACGAACATAAATGAGATCACCTCAGTTTTTCCAGGTAATATATCTGGATATCTTCACATATCAACATATTAAGGGTTATGTTATTTTTCTAATGGCCACATATTTATATGCATAGTTGAGCAAACATTTTAAGTACCCATAGTAGTATGTTAGTATAATAATTGGTCGTAAAATTAGTAATAGTAATAATGTCTTCTAAAACATAGTTATATGATGGAGACTGTTTATTTAACAGTGTTCTTTTCCATTTTCTTGATATATATGCTTTTATTCCTAGTTTCTAAATGCCTTGGGATTCAGATGTTTCTTTTATAGTCTTTAACTCTGTACACTTAAGCAGGCACAGTCGCGTAGCAGGTTCTAATACATACAGGTTGAACTGAGTTGCACTTTTAATTTCTTTCAGTAAAATGACTGGATTGTTTCATAATACTAAAACCTCCTGAGTATTAGCACTATTGACCACTTTGAGGTCCTTAAGGAGATAGATTTGGGGGAGAATGAGTTCCTTGTCTTTTTTAAAAAATGATTTGGGGGAGAATGATTTCATTGTTTTCTTAAAGGCCAAAAGCCTGGCTAATGACCTATGCTGAGGAGAAGGTGTCATAGACAAAGAACTGTGATTCAATATCAATTAAGCGTCTAATTACTTTTAAGCATATCAGGTCTTCCCCACCTTAATGAAATGACTAATGGGGCAAAGTTGGCAGTAGCTGAGTTAAGATACTATAAATTAATGTTGCCATACTAATTTCAACCTGGCTGTTAAACCAGCCCTTGGTGTACTGTTTCCTTCACCTTGGGTAGCATTCACATTTCATGACTATTTCTTTGAAAGATATCCCTCAAGTGTACAGTGTTGTTCTCTACGTTTGTGATGCTTCATTGATTTACAACAGGAGTTGTTGGCAGCTTGATGCACTGAGTCTGTAATGAATTGGCCTCTAGTGGGTTTACCTACCTTCCCACTTGTTGAAGGCTACCCTCCCTTCAAATGGCCTCATTCTTTCACCTGCTGACCTCCCTGCCCACCAGCTGGCTACATTGATTTAGCTTTTTTTGCATGTATGTCTTGTCTTCTAGCTCTTGGGTGACATGTTGTTCAATGCCTTCAAAGTAGATAACTCTGAACATTGGTTGTTGACATCAGCAACATGGATGCACATACGACATTGATGTAGCTAGTAAGGTTTGTTTTGGTGATTTTAGAGATGTTCTCTTTGATATCACCCAGCTGCTGAATTCTGGTTTTCCTTTTATGAAGGTTGCTCATGTTGGTGGTTTAGAAATGATCTCAGTATCAAACTTGATATAATTACTTAATATCTATCCATCATTGCTGTTAAGAGCCTTGAGTTGCTCCAATTCATGGTGACCCTTTATAGGGTTTCCAAGCTTGTAAATCTTCATGGGAGCAGAATGGACTCATCTTTCCCCTGATGAGTGGCTGGAAGATTCAAACTGCTGACCTTGTGGTTAGCAGCCCAGCTCATAATCCATTATGCTACCAGGGTTATGTGGTTCTAAATGAGACCCTAAAATCTTCCATCATGTAGGGAGTGAGCTAATCATTCCTATAAATAATTTTAGGATACCTTTTAAAGAGATTTAGGATACCTTTTAAAGAAATTTTAGGATACTTTTAAAAATAAGATTGTTGTTGTTGTGAAGTGCCTTCGAGTCGATTCTAACCCATAGTGACTCTGTATAGGGTTTCCGAGGAGCCAGCTGGTGAGCTTGAACTGTTGACCTTGCAGTTCAAATGGCTTTGCAGTCTGGTGCATTAACCCACAGCGCCACACCAGGGCTCCTCAGGCTGTCATTTTGGAAGGTCATATAAGACACAGTTGGGTTTTTCATCCTGTAAATTAGTTGTTGGCAGCCTTTTTTATGCTCAGGATGGTATAGTAACATTAAGATTGTGAGCTTTTGAGCATTTAATTCATTGTTTAAAAGTAAATGTAAACAATGCTTACTAATTGCCCTTTTTTTAACAATTGCTTGTATTTGCCTTGAAGGCTTAAGTGTAAGACTATAATCAGTTTCTTAATGTTTGTCTTTTGATACCTACTTTGAGTAATTCAAATATGAAAAAAAAATTGTTCATGTTAAACTCGTAATTCTAGACATTATTCAAAGAATGTTGGTAATTAACGTGGAAAGAAACAAACTCCAGAACCATTGCATTTATTCATATTCTGTATGGATGGGAAATTCTTTAAATTATAAGATTTTTCAAAAACTAAACTTTTTTGTTTGCTCTTTTTCTCTGAAAAATAATTAGTCTTATTTCTTTCTTCTGTTTCAGGTTCCTGAGAACTAAGCAATGGGGAGACATTTGGCCTTGCTTCTGCTTCTGCTGCTCCTTCTCCAACATTTTGGAGATAGTGATGGAAGCCAAAGACTTGAGCAGACCTTTCCTCTCCAGTTTACACATTTCCAGTACAATGTCACTGTGCATGAAAACTCTGCAGCTAAAACCTATGTTGGGCATCCTGTAAAGATGGGCATTTACATTACAAATCCATTGTGGGACTTAAGGTACAAAATCATCTCAGGAGACAATGAAAACCTGTTCAAAGCTGAAGAGTACATTCTTGGAGACTTTTGCTTTTTAAGAATAAGGACCAAAGGAGGAAATACAGCTATTCTGAATAGAGAAGTGAGAGACCATTATACATTGATAGTCAAAGCGGTTGAAAAAAATACTAATGTTGAAGCACGAACCAAGGTCAGAGTGCAAGTGCTGGATACAAATGACTTGAGACCGTTATTCTCACCAACCTCATACAGTGTTTCTTTACCTGAAAACACAGCCATAAGGACCAGTATTGCAAGAGTCAGTGCCACAGATGCAGATATAGGAACCAACGGAGAATTCTACTACAGTTTTAAAGACCGAACAGATATGTTTGCTATTCACCCAACAAGTGGTACAGTCGTTTTAACTGGTAAACTTGATTATGCAGAGACCAAGCTGTATGAGATGGAAATTCTTGCTGTGGACCGTGGGATGAAATTGTATGGTAGCAGTGGTATCAGCAGCATGGCCAAGCTCACAGTTCATGTAGAACAGGCCAATGAATGCGCTCCTACGATAGCAGCAGTGACGTTATCACCATCGGAACTGGACCAAGATCCAACATATGCAATTGTAACAGTGGATGACTGTGATCAGGGTGCCAATGGGGAAATAGCTTCTCTAAGCATTGTGGCAGGTGATCCCTTCCAGCAGTTTAGGACAGTGAGGTCTTCTCCAGGGAGTAAAGAATATAAAATTAAAGCAGTTGGAACCATCGATTGGGACAGCCATTCTTATGGCTATAATCTGACGCTTCAAGCTAAAGATAAAGGAACTCCTTCCCAGTTCTCTTCTGTGAAACGAATCCATGTGACTTCTCCACGTTTCAAAGCAGGGCCAGTCAAGTTTGAAAAGGATGTTTACCGAGTAGAAATAAGTGAATTTGCCCCACCCAACACACCTGTGGTCATGGTAAAAGCCAAACCTAGTTATTCTCATTTGAGGTATGTTTTTAAAAGTACACCTGGAAAAGCTAAATTCAGTTTAAACCACAATACTGGCCTCATTTCCATTTTAGAACCCATTAAAAGACAGAAGACACCTCATTTTGAAATAGAAGTAACAACAAGTGACAGAAAAGCCTCCACCAAAGTCATGGTTAAAGTCTTAGGTGCAAACAGTAACCCTCCTGAATTTACCCAGACAGCATACAAAGCATCTTTTGATGAGAATGTGCCAATTGGCACTAGTGTCATGAGTGTGAGTGCTGTCGATCCCGATGAGGGTGAGAATGGGTATGTGACTTACAGTATTGCAAATTTAAATCGTGTGCCATTCGTAATTGACCATTTTACTGGTGTTGTGAGTACTTCGGAAAACTTGGACTACGAACTGATGCCGCGGGTTTATACTCTAAGGATTCGCGCTTCCGACTGGGGCTTGCCATACCGCCGGGAAGTGGAAGTCTTAGCTACGATCACACTCAATAACTTGAATGACAACACACCCTTGTTTGAAAAAATAAATTGTGAAGGTACAATTTCCAGGGATCTAGGTGTGGGAGAGCAAATAACTACCGTTTCTGCTATTGATGCTGATGAGCTTCAGTTGGTCCAATATCAGATTGAAGCAGGAAATGAGCTAGATTTGTTCAGTTTAAACCCCAGTTCTGGGATGCTGTCATTAAAACAATCGCTAATGGATGGCTTAGGTGCGAAGGTGTCTTTTCACAGTCTGAGAATTATGGCTACAGATGGAGAACATTTCGCCACGCCTTTATACATCAACATGACTGTGGCTGCCAGTCGCAAGCTAGTGAACTTACAGTGTGAAGAGACTGGTGTTGCCAAAATGCTGGCAGAGAAACTCCTGCAGGCAAACAAATTAGACAATCAGGGAGAAGCTGAGGATATTTTTTTTGATTCTCACTCGGTCAATGCTCATGCACCACAGTTTCGAAGTACTCTTCCAACTAGCATTGAGATAAAGGAAAACCATCCTTTGGGTTCCAACATAATTTTCATGAATGCTACTGACCTTGACACTGGCTTCAATGGAAAACTGGTCTATGCTCTTTCTGGAGGAAATGAGGATAGTTGCTTCATTATTGACGTAGAAACAGGAATGCTAAAAATTTTATCTCCACTTGACCGTGAAACAACAGATAAATACACACTGAATATTACTGTGTATGACCTTGGTATTCCACAGAAGGCCACTTGGCGTCTTCTGGATATCACAGTGTTGGATGCTAATGATAATCCTCCTGAATTTTTACAAGAAAACTATTTTGTTGAAGTGAATGAAGACAAGGAGATAAATAGTGAAATCATCCAGGTTGAAGCCACAGATAAAGATCTAGGGCCTAATGGACAAGTGACATACTCTATTCTTACAGACACAGACAAGTTTTCCATCGATAGCACTACTGGGGTTGTTAAAGTTGTACGCCCTTTAGATCGGGAAGTACAGCATGTACATTATTTAAAAATTGAAGCCAAGGATCAAGCTAAAGAAGAACCCCAGTTGCTTTCCACTGTACTTTTGAAAGTGTCATTAGAAGATGTTAATGACAACCCACCTAAGTTTATACCATCCAATTACCGTGTGAAAGTTCGCGAAGACCTTCCAGAAGGAAGCATAATCATGTGGTTAGAGGCCTATGATCCTGATGTAGGTCAGTCTAGTCAAGTGAGGTACAGCCTTTTGGACCATGGAGAAGGACATTTTGATGTTGATAAACTCAGCGGAGCACTTAGAATTGTACAGCACTTAGACTTTGAGAAGAAACAAGTGTATAATCTCACTGTAAGGGCCAAAGACAAAGGAAAACCTATTTCTCTGTCTTCTACTTGCTACGTTGAAGTTGAGGTAGTTGATGTGAATGAGAATTTACACCCACCAGTTTTTTCCAGCTTTGTGGAGAAGGGTGCAGTGAAAGAAGATGTGCCTGTTGGTTCATCAGTAATGACAGTATCAGCTCATGATGAAGACACAGGAAGAGATGGAGAGGTCCGATATTCCATTAGAGATGGTTCTGGCGTTGGTGTTTTCAAAATAGATGAAGAAACAGGTAAATATGTTTTGTTTACTCTGGTTTACTTTCTCCTAATTTTTAAAGTAAACATCTGCCCTCTGATCGTTCCTTCACAGTCACTGTCTATTGGAGCTCAGTATAGAAAAGCAAATGTGTACAGTAGGAGGTGTAGTCAGCCATGACGATGGAGCCAAGTGAACCTGAATATAAAGAACAGGGGAAGATTGCTGTTGTTATTGCTGGTTCTGGCCTCCTAAGTTTGTACTTGGCATTCTTATCAGAAGCCTCATTTGTGGTTCTGTTGTACCTTTAAGAAACCCTTCCAGAGCTTTTCAAGCTAGTATTGTTTGTAGAAAACTCACCATCACATTGGGTTTCCACCTCATGGATAAATGCATACCTACAGAATTATACAAGGCCCACAAGGAAGACTTCTGTAATGTGACCTGCTTTACTTAGTACTCCATCCAGTTTTATTTGAGAAGTAGGTGTAGGGAAGTGGAATGGTGAGTTGAGAAAACCTGACTTGGAATCCTGGCTCTTTTAGTTGTAAGTGGGTGTTCATAGACAAGTTCATTATCTTCTTAAAACTGACTTTCTCTGTCTATAAAATGAAGACGTTCAGAGTCATCTCAAGATTTATATATAGATACAGTGGAATAACATGAAAAAGATTCTAGTATTGTTAACTCTCCTAACATTTTTATTTAAGTGATAACATTGTTTTTTAGTATTCTTTAACCTCTAGGAAGGTCCTGCATCCATAACCTATAAGACAGTCAATGCTGGAGTGTTTTGCTTTACACTTTGTACATACCTCTACTTTAGTTGATGTTCACAGGCATTGTAGATACATGAAAAGGAACTTTGCTGTTTCAGAGGTTAATCTCTGAGTTGCTAACCATAAGACAAGGCATAAAAGACTTCGTGCAGTTAGTCTTAAGAAAGACTACCACGTGTTTCTCCACTGTACCACCAGAGCTCCACAGGAGAAAGATGTGGCAGTCTGTTTTCTGAAATATTGTTGTTGTTAAGTGTCATGGAGCTGGTTCCAAATCATAGTCACAACCTGTATAGGGTTTCTGACAGCCTTGGAAACCCTTTGGGACAGTTCTCCTCTGTCTTACAGGGTCACTGTGAGTTGGAATTTACTTGATGGCATTGGGTTTGGTAGCTGTATGCCAATCTCTGATGGAGTGTGAGCTCTTCGAGGGCAAGTTTTTAGATCATGCATATTCTGCCCTCAGCATCTAGCAAAAATTGCCTGATAACACAGAAGCTGTTCAATAAATGTTAATAGACTGAATCAGTAAATGAATAGTTAGTTTGCCTTAGAATATCCTGCTCTCTGAGAATGATAGTGGAAATAGAAAGAAATTGGGTAATCACAGCACTAATCAGCCTTAACGCCTGGTGAGGCGCTGCAGGTTAATGCGCCGGACTGTGTGGTTGGTTTGAACAATAAGGTCGGTGGTTCTAGCTCACTAGCTGCTCCTCAGAAACCCTCTACGGGGTTGCTGAGTCGGAACCCACAACCACCAGTAACAGACTTAAGCTAAAACCAAATCTACTGTTGTTGATTGCTTCCAACTCACAGTGATCCTATAGAATAATAGGACTGTGTTGCAGGGTTGCTGAGCCTTTAAATCTTTAAAGAAGCAGATTGGCTCATCTTTCTCCCATGGAGTGACTGGTGGGTTTGAACTGCTGACTGTTTGATTAGCAACCCATGCTTAACCCACAGTGCCCCAGGATCCTTAATCACTCTTTGTTATTATTAAAGTGCTGGCCAGTTGGTTGTGAATCATAGTGACCCTGCACAGGATTTCCAAGGATCTGCTGGGGGATACGAACTGTCAGTCTTGCAGTTAGTAGCCCAGTGCTTATCCTACAGTGCCACATAAGGACCTCTTAATCAGCCATAATTGAACTCAATTTTTTTTTGTTGTTGTTAGTATCGTTGTTATGAAGTGCCATTGAGTCGGTTTTGACCAATAACGACCCTGTAAAGGGTTTCTGAAGAGCAGCTGGTGAGCTTGAACCACTGACTGCGCGGTTCAAACGGCGCATTAACCCACAGCACCACACTGGGACTTAGTTAGTATCATAATATTTCCTGTATAAATATGCCCATTTTAAAAGAGACTTTCTTTAATTGCATTAAAATTGTAAGTATATATGCAATGTAACACAAGTAGAAGAAATATTTTATTCAAAACCTCTTGTGGAGCTTACTCCCACATCTAATAAATGCATCTACCACCTCCAGCACCACAGTTTACTGTCAGTGAATTCCAACACATAGTGAATCCTGTAGCATCATAGTGGTCCAACACATGAAAAATATAATTGTTGTCTGAAATTAGAGAGTTTACCCTTCATAACTTATTTTGGAGACTAAAGTATTTTGATGTGCATTTATTAGTTCTGCTTATTTTTTAAAAAAATAATATATAATTAATGCAGATTATATACCACTTATCTAAAATATACCTAATAGTTTATTTAAAAGAAAACAGCTTAATCAAGTGTGTGGTAATCACTTATCTGAACAGTAGAATGTCTTATTTTTCCCATGGGTACTATGCCATCTGAATTAGAATTTTCAAAGTTAATATAGAAAAATACCTGGAAGTTAATTATTGAAGCTAAAACTATGTATTTTGAGAAATTTCTAAGGATAATCACCCTTACATTTTTCCTTTTCAAATAGGGTTTTGAAAGCTTATAGAGCAACAAAAATTTAAGGCAAAAAATAGAACCAGAATCTTAATTTACATTCTCTTGATGACTTAAATTATATGAGCACTATCTTTTGGGTGGTTTCTTTCAAATATAAAGAGTATTTTTATTGTTGCTTTTTAAAGAATCAGTTTGAAACCAGTATTTTTCCCCTGTGTAAATGTAAAGGACTGGGATATTCTTACTACCAAGGGAAAAGAAAAAGTAACAGCACACACAAGCAAGCAACCAAAAAAGGCAGTATCCTGAAATACATAAGGAGTTTTCAGACTGAATTGCACTGCCTGGCATTTTCAGTGGTAACTTGGAGAGAAGGAAGCAGCATAAAGTTATAGGGAAGGCAGTAAAAGAACGCTTTTCTTAATTTGGTATGTGTGTAAGAAAATGCTATATGCATTGGAAGAAATACTGAAACTTAGAGGCAGAGAGAAGAAGTTGGAGGTTTCTAGGCCAGCTATTCTGTAGTTCTTACTTTACAGAAGAAAGAAAACTTAGTGGAAGGTAGGTTAAATGGTATTTCTTTAGACACATCCATAAATTTTATTCACATGCTTTTTAAAATTTAATAACAGTGACATCGGGCTGGTGTGAATTACAGGATATCTGAGGGGGCTTCAAAAAGTTTGTGGAACATGGAATTAAAAGAAAATGGAATTTCCCTGTGAACTTTTGAAGCCCCTTTGTGTATTTTGGTAGTAGAACTAGCAATACGCAATGCTTTTTAGAGATTCCTGACAGGACAGTTTGTATCACTTTTAAGTTCCTTTAGGAAAAATTGATAATGTTTTATATAGGAGAAATGGTAAAATTATGTATGTTATTGTTAAGTGCTGCCAAGTCAGTTCTGACCCATAGCAATCCTGTATAGGGTTTCCAAGGAGCAGCTGGTGAGCTTGAACTGCCGATCTTGCAGTTCAGAGTTGACTTTGCAGTCCAGCACAGTAACCCACAGTTGTTACACTTTTATTTGGGATTTATGTAACTCATTTTTAGGCAGACCTTTGGACTAGTTTGAGTTGGTTCCATGATGCCAGCACAGTGAAATACCAAAACACCCAGAGTGTTTAAATTGTGGTGAAGCAGAATGATAACCAGAATAGGAATGGGAGACACAGAAAAAGGAGTAGTGATGTGGGAGATTGGGTATTGCCAGGACTGGACAGTGAAATGCTGTCAGCTGCTGTCTTTTGAGCAGGGCATCATTGTTTCTCACTACTGTTCATGAACTTTGATTGCTATCCAAGGTGCACGCTGCCCTTGTTTTCTAATAAGGAGGTTAAGTTTCTAGCAGGTGTTGATCTAAATTATCCCGTTTCGATTATCATTCTATGACACCCACACTTAACCAAGTGGGTCTGTTACAGTTTAGCTTCCTGGCCATGACTGGATTGGGAAGAATCAATTTGAAGCCTGGTTTCTAGCGGCGGGTGGGGAGTATGGAGAGGGTTTTGTCAGATGAAGTATGGATAGGGTAGTTCAGGAAAACCTGGATGCTAAATACTCAGTCTTCCAACTCAACTCCAGTTGGAGTTGTCTGACTCAGGGCAGGCTTAGCACTTTTTTTTTTTTTTAACTTTAGTCTCTGCTCATTTTTCTCATTTCTGGTGGGCACTTACTTTCTCTTTCAGTAATGCATTTAATGTTGGACTAATTGGTATGGACCTGCTCAGGGCTGCTTTGGCGCTGGAGACCGTGAACCTGCCTTACGTAACCGTTTTCTTCTTGATTTTTTTAAAAACAACTGCTGTGGATTGAGTAATATAACCAAATTTTTGCAGCATTCTACAGTGTGGATTAATGCGTCAGACTGCAAAGCCGTTTGAACTGCAAGGTTAGGGGTTCAAGCTCACCAGCTGCTCCTCGGAAACCCTATACAGGGTCTCTATGGATTGGAACTGACTCAATGGCACTTAACAACAACAAACAGTGTCGTAGTATATATCATTTATATATTTTTCATAAAGCAACATATTCAGAAATCTTAATTTTGTTTTTACTGACAGTGTTTAAATCCTTTTCAATCTTTGTTACGTGCCATTGAGTTGAGTGAGTTCTGACTCATAACTGAAGGGTTTCCAAAGAGTGACTGCTTAAATTTGAAAAGTTTCTGTATAATAAAACGATTCTGAAACAAGTTCAATCCTGCTTGCTATAGATTTCATACATTCTTTGCTAATTGGCCTTGTAAGCAGTAAGAAATAATTGCAGTGTGGGGGGTGACAGTTTGACTCATCTGAAAATCTTTCACTAATATGCAGGAGCCCTGGTGGCACATTGGTTAAAGAGCTAACCAA